GTTTGATGAGTCACTGGAAAGTATTTTGGCTTTAGATTGGTCAGTCGATTGTCTTTTGTCGATTTGGTTCTGCTCATTCGATTGAGCCACCGCACTACACATTCAAATCGACCTCATAATACTAGAAGTAATGCTAGTTTACCTCACCTCACTAACGTGGACGCACTTAGACGTTGGCTCGCGTATGCACAGTCGGCTAAGACGTGTGGAAGCTTCGTGCGGAACTGCTTGCACCAGGCTTCCGTAATAATATATTTATTGCGTTATCTAAAATGACACCTTAGCCAGCCAATAGATTTCAGGATACTAGTATTCGAGGTCCAGAAATAGATATTTAACCTAGCGGTATTAACCGGGCGGTTGGATATTTGGTCATACCAGTAGGGGTGGCCGCTGAGATGTATGTTGACTTGTTAATGGGATTCGAAACCTTGCTCCTTTTTAATGTCTAATCAGAATCTATCACACCTTGTTTCTTACACACGATTGGCTATAACACTGACACAGAGGTTATAATTTTGAACTTTGAATTTTGTAGAGCTTTGTGTGATGCTGCTCCAGAGAATTGTGCACTGATGAGTGCACTCCGACTATGTCCAATATGGTTCTCCACTTACAGCTAACATTATGTTGTGCGCTCGGTTGGGTCGCAATGTCGTGGTGGCTCTGGTGGGCCAACGCGGTGGCGCAAGAGGTCTTGGTAGCACCTATCGCAAACGCAAAGTGCTAAAGCCGCCACTTCAGCACTTGCGATGGGTGCCACCAAGACATCTTTCGCCACCGCCCGCGCAACCATGTGATCACACCGGCAGGGAGGTGTACGGCACCGACACGGGCTGGATGGTGGAATGAGGGATGACCAATTTCATTGGGTTAGTAGGCAAGTGGTGAAACGAGACTGACCGAGTCCTGAATACCACATCACATGATCTTGCTCTCATACACAGCCTACACAATTATCTCAAGGCTCCTTGCATCAACCGTCATCACAGGAGTAGAATATATCGCAACACGGCGTGATGAATCTACGCAGCTATTTTCGTGATTTCACGGCATCTGATTGGACAAAATTGGACAATTTTGAATTCGCAAGGTGACCTCTTGCGAATTCCAAAAAGAGACAGACACATGAAAAATATAAATCATCAATACAAACTTGAAGATATATTTAATTGAAACTATACAATTTCAGAATTATTTATGGAATTCGCAAATGGTTCACCTTGGGCTCCATACAAAATTGCCTATTTCACCTTGCTTTTTCTGGTTAATGATTTTTATATCTCTTATCCGTATATATTATCCGGTGGCTGTTGGGACATTTAACCTCCCACTGTAATGATAAAACGAATGAAATTGGTATTTAACGTATTTGTTTTTTGGGTTTAACCTACATTAATTGTACGTTAAATAATAAAACCTCCACACTTCGATTTGGCCAGTACCGTGTAGCTTTTATAGTTTTAGACACCCACGGGGCAATTATCCGTACTATGAAATTTGGGATAATGGGAAATCGTCAGGGGCTGCCCAAGTTCAAATATTAGGAGTGGATTATTATAAAACGTGAGGGGTATCAAACAACGAAGGGAAACTTTATAAAATAGCTCATACAAATGGTAAGATAATACATTATCTACAACGAAACAATTTCAGGTGAGCTGGTGGCACCGACGGCGTCAATATCCTGTGCTGGATCAATGGTCTCCTCGACGGCAGAGTCGGCCATCAAATCAGCAATGTCGCCGTCGTCAAGACTGTCCTCCGACATTTCCACCTCAACGGCAGCACCGTCGACGAGCTGGCATTTGCGGAACCCATTCAGAATCACGCTTTCAGGTACTTCATTCCATGCCCCAGTGATCCACTCAACC